TAGTGTTCCTATCAAGTGATTCACAGCTACCTATAATTCAGTGAGCATCTGCTTGCTTATGTTTATGTGTGCACATGAACTCATGCAGGCACACAGAGAGAGAGAGAGAGAGAGAGAGAGAGAGAGAGAGAGAGAGAGAGAGAGAAAATAAATATTTTTAACCCTCAATGAGAAAGTGAAATTTATGAAATTAGAACACTTGCTCCTACGGAGGACTCAGGTTTGGTTCCCAGCATCAACACTATGGCTCACAACCATCACAACCAGAGGATCCAATGCTTTCTTCTGACCTCTATGGGTACCTGGCATATACATGGTGCACATACATACATAAAGGCAAAGAATTTATTCCCATAAAATAAATCTAAAAAAAATTTAATTAGAGAGCTCTATGCTAGTAAGTTAGAAATCCTTCAACAGTTGTTTATTCCCCACATATTCCTTAGCCTCAGACTCACAAATTCTCTCTGAGCTGCCCATGTTCCTTCAGTAGCTGACATCTGATATGTAACCCCACCTCCAGTTAAACAGAAAGGGGAAGCTATGGTTCCTTTAAGGGGGAAGCTAGCTTCAGGTAACTGAAGCAGGTACTTCCTTAGAATATCCAAGGACAAATTTCTTATATACTCTTCATTTAGCAGTGTCCAAGAAACCAACAGGACACATGAGATTACTATAGATCTAGACTTTCCTTCGAAATTTAGAATCTTCATACCTATAGCAGCATCAAGCAAAATTATCCCCAAAATACAGTCCAGATCTACATTACCAGCTAAAAAATATAACATAGATTTGAGTCATCTTTGAGAAGGAAGATTAAAAAAGAAAACGCATTTTTAAAAATAGGTGAAGCATTGTGGTCCACACCTGCAATCTCAGCACTTGGGAGGCAAAGGCAAGAGGACCATAGGCTTGAAGCCAGCTGGGCTACATAAAAGTTCAAGGCCAGCCTCAGCTGAGATTTAGTTAGTCTCAAAGAAAAATGAGAAAAGGTTGGTTTCACCCTCATTAGGACTAATTATCAATGTTGTAGCTCTATAGCATTATGAATACAGGTATGTGTCCTTCACTGGGCCCTCTAGAAGCCAAGGGGTCAAGATCTGTCTGTGTATTGGATCACTAGCTAGCCACTGTCACCTTACTGAAATGCTTCAAAGGAGAATAGGAGAAGCAACCAAGTTGTAGTTGACTGAGAGGAGAATGAGAAGGAAGGAAGCATGTGGCTACTATGATGGACTTTTTTTTTTTTTTTTTAAGACACGGTTTCTTTGTGTAGCTTTGGAGCCTGTTCTGGAACTCACTTGGTAGCCCAGGCTGGCCTCGAACTCACAGAGATCCACCTGGCTCTGCCTCCCAAGTGCTGGGATTAAAGGTATGTGCCACCACCACCCAGCTATGGTGGACTTTTTTAAAGCCCTAGAATAAGAACTCATGGAGGAAGTAACTAGAACACTGCATAGGGCTGTGGACTTTTTCTTTCTTTCTTTCTTTCTTTTTTTTTTCTGGTGTGGGTGGGGGAAATCACAGATGCTTCCCACCAAGAAGGGTCAAGAAAGAGGAAAAGAAACACGAGAAACAGCAAGGGAAAATGCACACCTAAGAGATGGTATCAGGAATGTCTGAAACTAAAGCTGCTGCATCGAGTGCAAGGTGAGACAGGGCTTCTCTGTGTAGCTTTGGAGCCTGTCCTGGATCTCACTCTGTAGCCCAGGCTGGCCTCGAACTCACAGGGATCCACCTGGTTCTGCCTCCCGAGTGCTGGGATTAAAGGCTTGTACCACCACCACCTGGCTAAATGCAAGGCCTTTCAAGTGCAAGTGTCAAAAAGAGAAAGTGGGCCTTTCTTTAAGGGTGAGGCTCCAGATTATACTCAAATGTAATTAGGAGGTCTGTTTCTCCTCCTTGGGCTTTCTTATTCCCCTCTGGCTCGGCTCTTTCGTCTCAGGCTGTCTGTTTCTAAGAGACACCAAAGCTGGCCATCAGTAGCTCCAAGCTCCTGTTTGATCAAACCCCAAACCAGCACTCCTTTTCAAGGGGTGAAATCAAGTTCCAGGCATGAGTCCTACAGGGAGGGGTTGCAGTCAACTCCATGGCCAGCTCATCACTTGAATACCAGGCCCACCTCCATCAGTCCCACTCAACCCACTTGACCGAAAATTTGAGTCCTGAAAGCACCCAGGGGAGAAGCAGCATACAGCCACCAGAGGAGGGACATGTACACTGAGCAGCTGTGACAGTGGATAAAGGAGGGCTGAAGAAAAGAAACTGACACCAAATTGTCTTAAAAGACTGAAAAGAAATTAACTATAGCAGACAAGAAAGAAACAGCATTGAAAAATAGGCTAGAGGGGAAGTTACCTCAGTAAGAGAATTTTTGTGTTTAGCTCAGACTTGAGATTCTTGAATTTTCAGGACAATTTTGTTCTATAAAGGAGACTTTCTATTATTAGAATTTCCTATTACCAGGAAGTACCATGCTATGCTGTTAACTTGCAATCCATCCATTCTGGTACAGTCCACTTATTCTCAGTGACTTTGACCATTAAAGACTGCTGCAGCAGTGACCCCAAATCCTGAGTTATGAAAGAGCTCTTTATATTCCACTCAAATGAGAAAGATTTTTTTTTTCTTGGAGCATTGAGTTCCTCTGGTGAGAAGTGACTCATTTAAACTTTACAGGGGATTTAATGATTAGTCCCAAGGATGCTCCAGTGTTTGCCGGTCTCCCAAATTATAAGTAATGAATCATCTTCCCATTTCTTTTTTAAATAATTTATTTATTTTTATTTTATGTGCATTGGTGTTTTGCCTACATGTATGTCTGTGTGAGGGTGCCAGATCCCCTGGAACTGGATTTATAGACAGTTGTGAGTTGTCGCGTGGGTGCTAGAACTTGAATCCAAGTCCTCTGGAAGGACAGCCAGTACTCTAACCTCTGAACTATCTCTCCAGGCCCTCACCTTCCCATTTCTGAGCCTCTCTATCCATTCTCCTTGTGTTAAATCAAAAGGACACCAAGGGCCCTCAAAACAGAGTTACCAGACCCCTAAGCACATGGACCCAGCTAAGGTAAGTTGGTGGACACCTCAATCTCTGAGCTCCATCCTAAGGGTCTCTGTGCTTTGGACAGTTTAATAAAGTTCACAGTGTGCACACACCCACTCCAGGCTCTTATGCCAACTGTAGTGCTGGCTGGTTAGACCTATGTTCTGAGCTGGCCCCTCACCCCTGCAGACTCAGGAAATTTATTAAAGTAATTAAAAAATAAAATCTGTCAAAGCTCAGCTGTCTATAAGTAGCCTCTGTATACAACTGGTCCTTTCTGGGGTCCAAATCTTTTGACAAAAAATCACTTTCTATCAGGTCAATCCCAGTCCTCGGGGGAGACCTTGATCTGGAGGAGGTGGGAATGCGGGGGTGGGCTGGGGGGAAGGGGAGGGGGGCAGGAAGGGAGAGAACAAGGGAATCTGTGGCTATTATGTAGAACTGAATAGTATTGTAAAATAATTACAAAAAAAAAGTAAAAGAAAATCACTTTCAGGATGCTTGAGAATCATTTGTGGCTAATTCCAAATAGGTTTGAACTTTACACATTTTACGCATCCATCAAAGATCTATATTTGATAAACAATCTTAAGTGATTATGTGCTCATTATCAGTTGGCATGAGAACTCAAAGTCCCAGCTTAAGGTTTAGTCATACAAGTGTCAATTTTAGATATTAAGGTAAAAGTACTGTAGGTTTCTGACTCTTGTATGGAAGTGCAAAGTTATTCCCTCATCCTTGGCAAAGCATGAGTTTTGTACCCCTCTATCTGCACCATCTCCCCCTCCCTGGCCTTCCTGTCAGCATGCAGGCATTCACAAGACACCCAGCTGAGCCTCACTGGTGGCTGTGTGACACAGCCATTCTCCATAGCCCTACTGACAAATAGTTTCCTACTTCACAGTGACAATTAATGGATGAATAAAAGAGTCTTTTTAAGGTTGAGTCCACAGAACATCACTTAAAGTTCAACTCTTAAGAAGGAGCATCTAGCTGGGCGGTGGTGGCGCATGCCTTTATTCCCAGCACTCGGGAGGCAAAGCCAGGCGGATCTCTGTGAGTTCGAGGCCAGCCTGGTCTACAGAGCGAGATCCAGGAAAGGCGCAAAGCTACACAGAGAAACCCTGTCTCTGAAAAACCAAAAAAAAGGAGGAACATCTAAGGAAGGAAAAGAAAAATAGCCCCCTACTAAGCCTATTCACCCAAAGCAATGCCTACCTATGAATGAAAGCTACGGTTAAAACAACACGATCCACTCCATTGAATCTCTTTTAACCCTCTCTCCCCAACCCTAAAACTTGTGGTGGTTGTACTATTGTTTTATAATAGCCAAAGCCCCAAAGCACAAGTTGCTTGTGGTATAAATGCTGGAAAGTATCTCTTGTTACTTGAGGGACTATGAAGGATTTAGGCTCCCACATGTAAAATGATCGTGGCCTCTTTTCTAGGCTTTATAAGCTGACCTTCTGGGGTATACTTTTCATAGGTCAGCTGGCCCACCAGAGTAATTAAATTAAAGAGAATGGTGCCCACACTCTTGGCTGAGTTTTGGTGGAGTTCTACTCAGAGCACTTGAATGACCAGGATCAGGTTTTCTGTGCCAGATTCCACACCCCTGTGTCACCACTTGCACTCCAGCCCTGCCTTTAAAGGGACAACGTTCCTAGTACCCTGAGGCCATCTATTCCTCCAACTTCTAATGACAGCCCTTTCTTCCCAGAACTCTGCAGTAGCTGTACATTTGCTTTTAGGTCAAGATAGATACTCTGCTGTCTGTAAGAAACATCTCCTGGGGCTGGCTTTCAGCAGCAGCTCATGTTCCTGCTCTTCATTTCCCTCCACTCTGCTCTGTATGGAAACCATGACAGCCTCTTCCATGCACCTCTTCTTCTAAAGCTTCTTAAGCTCTCTAATGCCTGTGAGGCTGTGCCTATGGATTAAAAGGCAGGCAAAAAGTATCAATGGTATTTTATTGGTTCTATTCCAGGTAAACACATTTAACCAGATTGCAAGTGGCAATGCTGTTAAAGTTAGACTGAAAATCCCCCCAGATAGAATGTCTGTGGCTTGGTGCAATAGTTGGTCTTGACAGCCTCGTGTATACAGTCACTATAATCAGTATTACACTTGCCACATTTGCAGCTTATAGCAACAGGGTAGGAGAAATAAGGAGCAACATGGTGTGGGCATCCTGGTATTTCCACAGTTCTGTAGATGAAGTCTCTGTATGTACAAACATCCTGGGAGAGTACAGATTTGGGGAGAAACAGCTTGCCATTGATATCCTATGGAGAGAAAAGGGATCATAACATGATAAATTTCATACTACTTTAGACAGTACAATAGAAAGACCATAATTTACTGATATTACCTTTATTTCAGTGGTGACCTACAGAAGACTCCTGAGTTCTGTTATGCAATACTAGCTTAACACATCTACACTTAGCCCCTCAGAGACCTCCTCCCAAAAAAGACACTTTATTCTTATTTACCATTGATCATGAGAACAAAATAAGGTTTAAATCAATTGGGGGTAGACTGTTACAAATGTATGTGTACTTCTTTTTCTGAATAGAGTCACATTATTATAATTCTGAAAACAATGCTCTTGGCTTCCCAAAGAGACAGTACCATTGCATTTGGAAAATGATGCTATGATTTATCTCACTGACTTTCTACATATTAACAGACCAGTTTAGGCCTATCTAATTTACAGCTAAAAGAAGTACAGTGAACAACATACCCGTGTCATACAATACCCGGCACAGATGGTGGTGTTGATGGTTAGGCAATAGGCACACTCTCTCCTATCCACGAACATTGTATATTCAGTTGGAATACAAAAAGATGCTGCTTGCCCATATGCAAGAGCAAAAAGCATGGAGAGCAGGATGATAGCATTCATGCTGAATCAAAGATAAAATCACAAAACTCATTACATGTATCCTTTCTGTACATTCAGAGGCATATCTGTGGAAAGCTTATGTGCATATAAGTATGTATACATATACAATAATGAGAACAGCTAAAATAATTTGAGTGGTTACTTATCTCTGAGCCCTATATAAGGTGTTTTCACATATCCAATCTTCTCAAACCTTCTTATATACACTCAAATGCAGCTATGACCCTGTACACCCATAGTACAGAAGCTAATAACTTAAAGGTCTTGGCTACAAGTACCACTGAGCTCCCCTGGGAAGTGACATGGAAGCTTAGGATATCACAACAGAAAACTGACAGCTTTCTGTTAACTAAGTGTGAAATAATTCATTCAATGGAGCTGTAATAAAATGCCTGTCGTTATAAGAAGTAAATTAATAAATATTCTTTAGGAAGGGGCTTTCCCAGAATTATAAGTTTCTAAAAATGTTGGTTCAAAAGTTTAAAGGGTTCTTATAATAAGAGATGGAAAAAAAACAAGAATAATCATAACCAAACTTTAGTACCACCTAGGGTATGTAATCTTGCCTATAATTCTACCATTGCTCGTCAAGGAAGCAGGTCCTGAAAAGTTCTGCTAAAATTATGACTGGTGTTAAGTAATAATACCAGTTAGAAGGCCCCTTCTGAATTCTTAAGGTACTCTTTTAGGGTTGAAAAAAACTGAAGTTGAAATAAAAGATCATTTTATATAGAAGTTGTATGACACTCATTATTGAAAAGTATATAGAGAGCCGAAAAACATAGTTTGACACATTTAGATTAACCCAGTCAAGAAAGCAGATCCACCATGAGTTGTTCAGATTCATTAGCAGTTAAGGCTGTCTGGGAGACAGCAAAGGGGCCACTGAGCACAACATGCATCTCAGTGAGCCTGTCTAATGAAGAAGCTGTTCAGTATCAGTGAACATTGTACTGATCTGGGGAATGTTATGACTTATAATTATTTTGGTTCTGCTACTGAAAGAGGGTAATCAAATTTCAGACTTTTAGATGTAGGTTGATCACCTCTAAGATTAAGAAGACTTTTTATTTCCTTTTACTAATATTCTTCAACTAGCTAGGTATGTTTGGATTTTTTTCTTCTCAATTATCATTGTTAGTAAATGTGTGTGTGTGTGTGTGTGTGTGTGTGTGTGTGTGTGTGTACACATATATATAGTCCTCACTGAAGCAATTCTATTAGATTATTATTCACTGACTGCTGAAATGGCTCGGAGGCAAAAGCATTTGCTTCTCAAGCCTGACAACCTGAGTTCAGTCCCTGGAACACACAGGGTGGACTGAGTAAATAGACTCCTTCCTGGAAGTTGTCCTCTGACCTCTATGTGCATGCTTCAGAGCTTCCTAATACCACCACCCCACAATAAATAGCTGTAAAAACATTAAAAGAAAATTATTCTCTAACCATTTTATTTAATCATTAAGAAAGAATCAAGATTTTCTCAAATCTGTCAATTGTGTCAACAACAATTTTAAGGTGCATACTTTAAAATCTCTACTTACTGAAACCTTGTACATCAGTCTCAGGTAACCAGAATTTTGTCTTCAATAAATATATAAGACAAAAATTAAAGTATTAACATAAGTTACTAAGGAGTAATCCTAAATGTCAACTTCTACAGTCATTTCAACAATCTCCTACTACTAGCATAGGAATTGCCGAAATTGACTATACATACATGTACTGAGCATCTGGACCATGCGCTGAGAGATGCATTGACACAGTCCTTGACCCAAAGCACCAACAGTTCAGGAGGAACCAAGTATGAGCACAAATGTAAAAATATAGTTTGTTCTAAGTTCTCTGAGAAAGTCCATGTTATGACTCTGATGCCCCACCCCCGCCCCATTTATCAGATTTCCTTACGTTTGCTACACTTATGGATAGATAAGTATGGATAGATAAGAAATAACCCTTTAGGAAAGTTTTTGGTGGTAAATTCTGTTAAACAAGGTATTACATATGTGAGCATCCCTTGCAGTATTTTTTAAATGTTTGCATTAGGGAGTAGATCATAAGAACTCTTGGTTTGCCGGGCGGTGGTGGCGCACGCCTTTAATCCCAGCACTCGGGAGGCAGAGCCAGGCGGATCTCTGTGAGTTCGAGGCCAGCCTGGGCTACCAAGTGAGCTCCAGGAAAGGCGCAAAGCTATGCAGAGAAACCCTGTCTCGAAAAACCAAAAAAAAAAAAAAAAAAAAAAAAAGAACTCTTGGTTTGATGCACTCCGATGTTGGACCCAAGCCTCACACATACTGAACCTCACATCCAGCTCTACAGTTAAAATACTATCCCAGTTGAAACTATAAGAATTCCTTTCCCAGGGAATCTGATTTTTGCCAAGTTTTTCATAAAAATGCAAGCTCCCTCTATACTATCCAGTTAGTTCTATTATATTAGTGATACAGATCTAGAGGTTCTCCAAAGGGTCTTGAAAATAGCAACCAGGAAAGTGCAATAGAATACTCGCCCTTGCTGCTCACCTCTTCCCCACCATCTTCACAGTTCTCCAATGGGTTTCACCACAGAAACAACTTCTAGCTCTCTAGTTCTATATGAAATAGCATGTGTGGTAACCTATAATCAGAATACTGGCTCAGAACTTAAAGAGCAGAAATTTCCCATGGGTCTGTAAGAAACTGATGAAAATATCTAATCTTATTTATTCATCTGCTAGATAAAAACAGAGGAACACACCTGACCCTTCCAAAAATTGTAAGATAGGGTTGCAAACATGACTCAGTGGCTAGGATCAAGTACTTCTCTTGTAGAGGACCTGAGTGCAGCTCTCAACACCCACATCAGGCAACTCACAACCCCTTGTAACTCGAGCTCCAGGAGATCGATGTTTCTGGCCTACACAGTCACCCTCATACACAATACACACATGCCCACATAATTTTTAAAATAATAAATTTCTTCTAAAATTTTTAAGATAAAAAAATTGTATTATAACTTTCCCCTATTGCTATCCTATTCAAGAGTGACACTGTTTTAAGATTCCCTTTTGGGTTTTTTGGTTTTGTTTTTTGGTTTTTGAGACAGAATTTCTCTGTATAGCCCTGGTTGTCCTGGAACCAGCTCTGTAGACCAGGCTGGTCTTGAACTCACAGAGATCCACCTGCCTCTGCCTCCTGAGTGTTGGGATTAAAGCATGCGCCACCATTGTCCAGCAAGACTCCCTTTTATAAATATAGAAGTTTAAGCTAACAAAAGCAAAGCATTTAAAAAGGCCTGGATCACCAGTCACAGTGCTTATATAATGCTGTGAAGATAAAGAATATGAATGATTCTTTCTATTTTACTTCATTATAAATAAATAAACAGTCGTCAGTCTCCTGATGAAGAATGAATAGTGTGCACGACTTTCTCCTACTTACATTTCGACTTAAATGTTTTTATCACTTGAATAATCTGTGTATTTAATCCTCACAATTACTAATGGCCATCTTTGATAAAAAATATATTCTGGGAGAGTTTTAGAGTAAATTCAGTTTTGAGTGTATACAGGGGTACCAGTGCTTTCATTACTGACCACATAACTTTCCTGTACCTCAATTTCCTCATCTATAAAAGGAAAATTAAACATCAAAAGATTACCAGGAAAGTCTTCACAGCACAAAAATAATCTGTGATTCTATGTTAAATTAGAATTAGAATTAGTAATCTACAATGCTACTCTTACAAAAAATAATTCATATGAATCATACATAAGAAAATTTCCTTAGCTACATAACACTACAAAAACCAGTATTATTTGTGCTCCATATTTTCTTTCTGCTCTGATTGTTCTCATTATTAAACACATTTCTCTCTGCTCTGCTAATATCTGTTATCTCTCTTTTCTACTTGAAGTCATTACTGCACAATGGAAAGAATCCATTTCTCTACTTCTGAGCAAACCCAGCATTTCACTAAAGCAGAATACTTTTCCAGAAAGAAAAATGTATTATATTAATAAGATATATGTATTGGATACTCTCCAAGAGAGTTTCACTATTAAATAACTAAAAATGTCCTCTAACATGGAATGCCCCTGATAATAATGAAAGCACTGGTACCCCTGTATACACTCAAAACTGAATTTACTCTAAAACTCTCCCAGAATATATTTTTATTAAAAATGGCCATTAGTAATTGTGAGGATTAAATACACAGATTATTCAAGTGATAAAAACATTTAAGTTGAAATGTAAGTAGGAGAAAGTCATGCACACTATTCATTCTTCATCAGGAGACTGACAGACTGTTTCCATCCTTTAAGTCAATGGAATCTCACCTCATCTGCCAATATGTGGTTCATTCTTCTTCATTCACTACTGCATGATTTGGAGCAATAATTAAAAACTTTAGTTCTGTCTCAGCATTTGCAATTTTTAAGTAAATACTCCAACTGTTAAAATAAAATGAAATGATAACAAAAGCATTCCGTTTACAGGTCCTGCTCAGGGTAGACACCTACCTTACTTTGCATTGGCGAGTTGATGCTATGATGACCCAGACTCTGTTCATTTTATACCCTTCAGGATAATTTCCCTCTAATCCTCTTGTTTATATAATTGCATTTGAATTGCTGCTTTCTTATCTGAAAAGCATCTATTGAAAATTCATACTGAACCCCAAATAAAACTTGTTTATACAAACAGGTTCACAGTATCTTCCCCCTGGAAACTCTGACATTATTATAGCATGCATCTTCCTCTCTCTTATTTCAAATATATCCTTTATTAATATCTATTAATGTTAATAACTGATATTATTATCTGTTAATATTAATAAAGAATAGACCATAGAATTGGGAGCAGTGGTGAAAAAAGTCCTGAGAGTGCAAATTTATTTGGGGCTTGAGGTCTCCAAATGTCACCTATTTATGTAGAGATACATACATAAAATTATTCATCTATAAAGCAAAGGTAACTTCTTTCTGGAAATTTAGGCCAATTGGCCAAAATGTTTTGTTTTGTTTTTTTCTTGGATTTTACAGGATGTTAATATAATTTACAGTGTGAAATGTTTCTTTGAGGAGCATGGCTAAATTTGGCAGGATGTAAAACTGACTTGAGATCAAATTCTGGCTTGGTCATTAACTAGCAATATCATTGGCATTCATTAGTTCTGCTTATTTCAGTTTCCTTACCTAGCAAAAGGTACCTGTGTGTGTGTTTGTCATCCTAGAACTCAGGGAGCAGAGGAATGGAGTTCAAGGCCTGAATGGAGTATGTAGCATCATCCTGTCTCAGAAAATAATTAATATCAATATTTATATCAGTGACACATAAGGACTCCATAAGAAATAGTTAATTTATAATAACACAGAAATATTTGTTTGGTAAATATTTAGTCAATATATTCATTGATGTGTAAGTGGCTGGGCAAGTGTGTAGGTGATTACTTAACATTTGGAACTAATCTATACTTTTTCTCAATCTCTATACCAATGTATTAATTTTACTCATTTAATCTACTTTTTCCATATTGTAACTTAAGTACTATGCCCCAAACTTGCACTGGGTGCTTCCAACTTGCCTTCAGGAAACAAAGTCCAGACTTGTTATCTCTTTTAAAGCCCCTCATGGCCTATTCTGGCTCCCTGGTTTTATTCTGCCCATCTATCTCCCAATCCTCCCTATATATCCAAGCCACACTTTTTCTCTGCTTCCTGTCATTTTAGACAAGCTGAGCTGAGTTAGTCATATTTTCCCTTTCCATTTGGGAATATTCTGTTCCCTCTGTTGGAACACCTGCCCAAGGCTTCATCCCATGCCTCATCTCAGATATCTGAGAAACACCACTTTTGCAAAACCTTCTCTGGTTCTCCAAAGCTTTTCTAATGATTAGGGGTTTTAAGAGAATTAAATATATAGAATCCCTGGCATATGATAGATGCTGAATGAAATCCTAGATATTCTTAGAGGTTATTGAAAATCCCATTTGTCTTCACTTACTTTAACCTTTATTATTAATGTAAGTTACAGACAAAATATGATTTCTGGCATAGGTGAGTCTCCCCAAAGGGTGATGGCAAAGTCAAGACACAGTTAAGGAAAAACTTTAGGGAAAAATACATGTAACAGAGTTTAACTGAACAAAGAAAGAATCACAAATCAGACAGGGCTCTGAAAAGAAAAGGTTAGAAGAGCTCAGCAACACAACAAGCCAGGCAGCATCTGTGGACAGAAAGCAGAGGGAGGCAGAGGAATAGTCTGGCTGTTCAGGGTGTGGCTTACATGAGTATGTTCTGATCAGCTGGTTGCTCATGACTGATAATGGTTGACTGCTATGATGTACTAAGATAGCTATTTGCCACAAGTGTACTAAATGGATCTGCAGCTAGTTTACATACTAAATTTGGTTGCAGTTCACTAAGTAGGGACTCAGTCTGGAGGTGTTCCCAAACAACATAGAGTTTAACAGATATAAAACCAGAACAGGGACTACACATCTTCTAAATACAAGCTACTATCATCATAATCTCTAAACCATGCCTTGTACTAGAAGTCTAGCAAACTACTCAGTACTAGTAGATTCATGATTATTGGAGAAGAGTCTATAACCATTAAATTACTAAACCAGTATAATCCCTAACAACAATCTAAACATTTGTCCTCATACCCACAGGTAAGTGTAGTCTTCACCCCTCATCAAGGAAACTTCTCTTTGCAATAGACAGAAAACCACATCCAATCAAAATGCAGAGTTGTGTAGCCCAGTCCCAACAGATATATCTACAAAACACTCTCTTACCTAAGGCTCGGGAACATTGTGGAAGAGGTGACAGAAAGACTGTAAGATCCAGAGGATCAGGGAGTTTGCCATGACTGGTGGCAAAGAGAAGGGGAGCAAAACATCTCAATTTTACTCCATGAAGACAGTGTCTTGGTGATAGTATAGAGAAAGACAATAAATCAGAGGAAAAAGTACTTCTAGATTGATAAGGTAGGCCTGAGTCCATGGAACCCAACACATTGTGGGTTCACACAGAAGAATGCTAGAAAGAAAAGAGATGCAGAGAATTCTGGAGCATGTCAGAGGACCTTTTTGCACTCAGATGAAAACTGATTGATGTACATATTTGAAAAAACTAGTTGAGGATGAAGGGCAGGGGAGAATCCAGAGAAGATGAAAGAGAACCATCTAGATACATCCAGGCTGAGGAATGGCACCCTTTTCCAACCTGCACCAGTGGCAATCTCCTAATTTATGGGGAATGAGGTCGGGTACTCAGAGGGTTTGCTTCAATTATGAGAGAGTCTATATTTGCTTCAAAATGAGAGACTATAATTAGTCTTTAACTAAATGCTGTTTTGACCTTTTCTAACAACCCCTAAAGGGATCAACTATTTGCAAAAAGCACAACTTACAGAACAAAAGTGAAGAATATTGATAGGAATGCAGAAATATCTAGCACCCAACAAGGTATAATCTATAATATGCAGCACTTATTTAAAAAAAAAAAAACTCTAGGCATGCAAAGAAGCAGGAAAGTACAATTCATAATGAAGAAGAAATTGATTAATTGAAATCAAGCCAGAACTGGTATATATAACAGAATTAATATATATAACAACAAACTAGGCATTATATTCTAACCAATTTCCATAAATTCAAGTAACTAGGGGAAAGGCTAAGTAGAGTCATAAAGAAAAAACTTAACTTCTAAAGATGAAAGCAACAATATTTTTATGAAAAAAAATGCTGCAATGGATAGATTTTTTATGTAACAGATTAGATATTTCAAAGGAAAAGATTAATGAAGCTGAAGATATTTAATATAAGCAATTCTAAATGAAATACACAGTGAAAACAATTTGAAAGGATGACTAAGATTTGACAAATTCAGAAAAATACCATGATTCTAAGCATAAGAAAGCAGTCTTCAAAGGAGAGGAACACAGAAAAAAATTGAAGATGCAATGATTTAAAGGTTTACAGACGGGCCGGGCGGCAGTGGTGCACACCTTTAATTACAACACTCTGGAGGCAGAGCCAGACCAATCTCTGTGATTGGTCTGGTCTACAGAATTAGTTTCAGGACAGGCACCAAAACTACACAGAGAAATCCTGTCTTGAAAAACCAAAAGAAAAAGAAAAAAAAAAAAAGGTTTACAGACCTTATAAAAATAATAAGTCAGAACCAAAGACCCCAATGACTCAAGTATAAAATTATAAAGAAATCCAAACTAAAATATGTCATCACCAACATCAATGATAAAGAGAAAAGCCTTAAGAACAGACAGAAAGTTACACATAATGTAGAAAACATAAAGATCTAATTTCTTTTCTTTTCTTTTCTTTGGTTTTTTCGAGACAGGGTTTCTCTGTGTAGCTTTGCGCCTTTCCTGGAACTCGCTTTGGAGACCAGGCTGGCCTCAAACTCACAGAGATCCGCCTGCCTCTGCCTCCGGAGTGCTGGGAATAAAGGCGTGCGCCACCACCGCCCGGCTCAGGATCTAATTTCTAATGAGAATGATAAAGCCTGAAGATTGTGGATCATCTGTGCTGAAGGAAAAAATTCTGTCAACCCAGAATTCTTCAATGAAAATCATCTTTCAAAACTGAAGGAAAAGTGAAAGAATTTACCACCAGCAGGCTGGTCCAGGAGGAAATTATACTATATCATAAATCAAGATCCACACTGAGGATTGAAATGCACTGGAAATGGTAATCATGCATGTAACTATAAGTAAGATATTCACACTATTATTTAAACACCTTTAAAAAAATAATTGACTATTTTGGGAAGCAGAAGGCTCCTCCGAAAGGCCAGATCGCCCTAATAAAAAGGCCAGGAGTACCGCCTCCAGGACAAGCCTGTGGCCCTCACATCTCATCCACCCATCACCCACTGCTCTAGAGTCTGAAGCTCCAGTGTTTTTGGTTTGGTATCTACCATGGCATCTCTCTAGCAGGGTGACTGATACTCATAAAGGTTTGAAAATACAAAGGCAGGTCCTCCTTCTTCCTGTACAGATCTCAGTGCTGTGACTGTTTCTCATCCTTTCCTACAATTGGAAGCTAATCAATCCCTCTCCCTCAAGAATAATAGTCACCCAGGGGGTATGATCTGTGGAGTTTCACAGAAGGTGCAGAAACCTGCCCAGCCCACAGACTGCAAAGCTAAGTATGGTCAGCAGAGGCCCCTTGTAGGCAAAGAAGAGAAGCTACTAAAGTGAAGACAACTCTGGTAGATATGGACACTTACCTAACAAAGGCTCAACATCTGGATAAGCAATAAGACAATCTTCTGCAATTCAGCTGGCCCTTCCCATTTCCATGCACATAACCAGCAGTCTACAACTTGTGAAGAACCAGAAACAAGTTGCCTCAGCCCTTTATTAGTTCTTTTTTTTTTTTTTTTTTTTAGGTTACACACACACCATGCTTCCTTTCAATTATACATTATTACATTTTATTCCTCTTCATACATTCATCTGATTTTATCTTTTTTTATTTTTGGACAATCTTCATTCATTTCCTCTCATTTCTCTCTCTTCTTCATCCTTTGGAAAATGGAAGCCTTCTATGCTTG